GTGGGGGGGGGGGGTCTGGCCGCAGGAGGGCACAGAGACAGCTGGGGCCAGTACCTTGGGATCCCGTCTGCTCTTCCCCTCCCCTCAGCACCCCCCTTCTCTAACCCAATCCCCTCCCCTTCCCCAGAGCCAAGCACCCCACTAACCCAATCCCCTTCCCCAGAGCCAGCCCCCCACCCACTCTAAACTAATTCTTGGGTTCCAGAGATGGAGCCACCGTTGCTAAAGACACGCACGTCTCCCTCCAGGGCAGGTGCTGGGGCATGTGCACTGAGAAGCTGGCCTTGAGACGTGCTGGCTGGGATGCTGTGCGCACCCCCCCCCCCAACCAAATCCCATCCCCTTCCCCAGAATAGAGCCAGGCACCCCCCCACTCAAACCCAACTCGGGTCCCGGAGCCACCACCACCACTACAGCCACACATCTCCCTCCAGGCGCTGGGGCGCATGCGTTGAGCGACCCCACACCCAATCTCCGTCCCTTCTCCTCCCCTTTCCCTTCCCCAGAGCCAGACACCTCCTCTCCTCACTCGAACCCAATTCCCCTCCCTCCCAACCTTATGCCCAGGTCCCGGAGCTGCCGCTGGCACCACCGCCGCACCCGGAGCCTTCCACGCTGCCTGCGCACAACAGCTGGCTGCTAGCACATGCAGGCTGGGACACTGTGTGAAAAACAGCCTGCACATGCAGGATATGATGTAATGCGCTGGGAGGCCATGAATGGAACAGCACAGGCCAGGAGCATGCACATGGCTCTCAGCGACCCGACCTGAGCAGTTCCGGGTTCCGTCAGGAGCCGCAATTTTTTTCTTCGCGGGCCACATAGCACATCACCTCCCTGTGCCTCAGTTTCCTCTTCTAAAAAAAAATGTACAAAAGGGTCAGCAGCTATTCAACACAATGCATTTTGTAGAAAATCCCCAATTCTTCATCATCAAAACAAAAATCTTTTGCTGCAATGAATTTGGATGAAATTTTCTCCCAGAATAGAATTATGGCCAAAACCAGAGAAAAGAGAGTGTTCGCTAGAGGTTTCCTAATAAGCGCCCCTCCCCCCCCCCTCCCGCCCCCCGCCCCCCACGCAACAAGCCTGGTAGCAGGAAGCTGGGCTTTGGAGCTGCACCTCACCATACGATTCTGACTGCCACACAGCTGTGTGAGAGGCTCCTTTCTCCTGGCTGTGGCTGTTTCCTGCTGGGAGCAGTGGAGCACAGAACAGCCTTGGCAGAGGGAAAGATACCTTCTCAACATTATCTCAGTGGTTTGAGCCTTGACCTGCTTAAGCCCAGGGTTGTGAGTTCAGTCCTTGAGGGGGCTATTTAGGGAGCTGGGGCACATCTGTCAGGGATGGTACTTTGTCCTGCCGTGTTTCTCCTGGCTGTGGCTGTTTCCTGCTGGGAGCAGTGGAGCACAGAACAGCCTTGGCAGAGGGAAAGATACCTTCTCAACATTATCTCAGTGGTTTGAGCCTTGACCTGCTTAAGCCCAGGGTTGTGAGTTCAGTCCTTGAGGGGGCTATTTAGGGAGCTGGGGCACATCTGTCAGGGATGGTACTTTGTCCTGCCGTGAGGGCAGGGGACTGGTCTCAATGACCTCTCAAGGTCCCTTCCAGTTCTACGCGATAGGTATATCTCCATTTATTCTATCACCCACCCATTTCACAATAGCATGGATCCCCCCTAGCTGGGAGAGAGGTGCCCCTAACTCAAGCCAACCCAGCCTCATCAGAACTGCTACAGTTGGCAAAGAGGCACCTCTCATCTAGCCCAGAGCTGCTGCAGAGAGAGAGAGAGAGAGAGAGAGAGAGAGAGGACTGGGGGGGGGGGGCCCCTCTTCTCTGTTAAGGTCAGAAAGGACCATTATGATCATCTAGTCTGACCCCCTGCACAGTGCAGGCCACAGAATCTCGCCCACCCCTCTTAGAATAATCCTACTCAAAACCTCATATCTACAGCCCCATCTGAAAACTCACACTCCCAGTCTTCACCCCTGCTCTCCAACTCTTTGCCCCAACCCTGAGCTCCCCTCCTGTACCCAAACTCCTCACTTCCAACCAGAACCCTCATCCCCTCAAGCCTGAGTCTCCTCCTAAACACCCCACCCTCCACCACAAATCATCCATATGCAGCATGAATTGTGTGCGCACCAATATAAAGATGTGTCACACATCGTTTCCATATTGGTGCACATAATAAAATGCATTGTGCACATGGACATAAACAAACCGGGGGCGCACTGGTGTGCATTCACCCAGGCGAGCGGGACACCAAAGGCCAAGTGCCTAGCTGCTCTCACACAAGCCTGGCTTTTACTACGACCTGCCCTCCAGAAGAGAGAGACACCCTGCAATCTCACCAAGCTTGGCTGGAGGCCCCGTCTAGCCCTGCGTGTCCAGGATTGTGTAACTGTTCTGGAAACGCAATGGTGGCTGCCAGCCCGCCCGAGGGCTCTGCGATCCACGCGCACCGCCTAACCCGCAGCGAACGGGAGACTGGCTGGGGGTATCTGGTTCCACCGG